AACTTTATACACAAGTGCCAAAATACTATAATTATGGTAATTATACTTTATGCGAACGATCTGTACAATAGATGCGAACCATGGCACCACAGGCGACATGCTTATGACCTACATATTTGGTTCAGGGCAAATTCTGAACGTTCGACTGTGCAATGCCTTCAGGAAAAACTTAGAGCTCAATAAATTGTCAAAGCCTCTTCCGATGAAAGTAATAGCGAAATTATTAAATGATGTGAAATGACAAATGACACAGTAATTCAGAAATGTATTCCTAGTGTCCACCATGGAAACAGAACAAGTTGTGTGACAGGGAAGCTTAAAACAGCAATGGACTCCGAAACCATGCGCCAAACTAATCTCGAACAGCGCTCTCCTCCATAAAGTGAAGATTATAATTATAAAAGGAAACTCTTGGATCTTAAAATAATTAAAATGAGGCTGAGAATACTTCCTGGTACCATAACACGATAGTTAACTTATTGTTATTGTTTTTATCACAAAGCTAAACAGTAGACTACCTACGCTCTGCTCACCGAGGGCAGATTCCAACTGCGGATGTTAGCACTGTAATTCCATAACCTATCTCTCACTCACCGGGGACTACAAGCTTCAAACAAAATCCTCCAACACAACGACGGTTTCATGTTAAAAAAAGCAGAATAGACTGTAATCAACACACTCCTATTTGACAAAATGTATGTTAAGTCTCCTTTTGTATCTTGTATGTGCTCAAACGTTGTTTTGGAAGCGCGTATCCAGGTACAGTAAAGAGTTTATGGAAAGTATGTCATGTTGTGTTGTCTAAAATTGATTTTGCAGTATTTTATAGAAAGCTTGCAAGAGGAATTGTGATATCGTCTAGTAGCATTTATTCATTGTTATCAGCGAAAGCATTGATAATAGATAATAAACTGGGCAAGCATTGTTATAACTTAAGATTAACCTCAGTAAAAACAACCAACAGCTAAAATATAATCTTCTTAAGACCTTCCTGTAGTGAAATTATATGCGACACGTAAGGATTTAAAGTTGCGAGTGCAGTTTTTCGCAACAATATATTTATATTTTAAAACTGTATATATGAGACCCAAAGTGAGTAACATTACTGAAATATTGAGGTCGAATAATAAAATTGCATGAATTCATTTTGATTTTTTTGGAATTAAATGTCTTGAACATGTCCTGCGGTACAGGAAGATTATGCGTCCATCCATGAGTTGTAATCGTTGGTAAAATAACTGCTTAGAGTTTGGCTTTGGGCTTTAGATACGTACTGTAGTTTATACTATGAAGCTTAAACCTCAGAAAGAAAATCGATATATTTGTGTAAAAAAGTTTAAGATCTGTGTTCCTTGACTTGCATTTATTCATCCGAGCAAAATGTAATGTTCAGCATTAAAACTTTGTGGCTTTTATTTTTAAAGACAAAAGAAAGGGCCTGAGAAAATAAAACATTGTTAATAATTCACTCAGGCAAGTTGAAATGATATATGTTTTTAAGAAATTAATGAGTTTATTTTATACTTATTTTAAACTTCTAACGTTTCACTCAGTAATACAGGTGAGGTAATGCTAACAAATATTTAACTTTAAAATGTAATCTTAAAAAAAATAACTTTCTTTCTCTTCCGTCTGGCTAGTTGTAGAAGGTATGGCTCACTGTGTCTGAATTAATTATGTTTTTTAACGACCACCATTTGCAATCTCGAGAGAAATTAGAAAACTAGTAAACTCATTCTATTTCTTTAAATCGCACAACATTGAAACAAAATATAATAATAGCTTTGTTAGTTCAAATAGTATTAGTTCAAACGACGCATTTCAAATGTCTTAGTCCCTAATCCTACATTTATATATATTTATAACGAATTTGTTTGAAAACAACAGTTTAAAGGAAGACTGACCTAGGAGTTCTGTATCTTAACTAAACTTAGTTTTGAGTTATAAATATTCTTTGATATATTTAATAAACAATTATTTATTCAGTATTTAATAAATATTAAGCTGTAAAATGAATTAATTATTCTATGCATTTTATAAATAAGTATATATATTTATTATTCATAAAATATTTAGCTTCCACATCTGAATTAATTTAATTAGTACTATTTCTCACATTTATATTAATCTTGTACTTTGTAGAGCATAAGCTATCTTAAAGGTTTTTTTATGGAATTACCCATATAGTTAGAATATTGAAAATGATTTTGTTTATTTTGTAAGATAAAAAGTTCTAGGCTAGCTTAAGTGCTAATACGTTTTTATGATATACATTAAACGAATTCAAATCCTCAGTGTTCGCTACATTTTAAATATTTTGAGCTAAGATTCATTATAGGACTTCTAAATAAAACTTTTTCTCAATTAATATTTCATTCAGGCATATTGCTATAGAAAAGGTAATATAAACAGTGAAATCAGAGTAAGTTATAAACACGACAACCGTTGAAAACTAACTTAAGAATATGGTATACTTTGCTGTTATTAATTTTTTTCAGCCGTTTGTTAATGTTGATGATTTGCTATTACCTTATTCTAAAACAATAAACACATTATAGCTTTATATGCATATGTATATAACGAGAGCGTTAAAAATTAGTTGTAAAACTTATTTGTTCTGTTATTGTTTATTGATTCCAACTCTCAAACAAGCATTCACAATCAATAGGTTGATACATTAATAAGATAGCTTGCGCTTGGTTTCTTCGAATTGCTTTGGTCCTGGCATGTTTAGCTCGTTTGCCAGGAATCTAATGACCGATTTGCGTTTTCCACGTTAAGTTGTTCATCACCTTCAGAAACACCTCAATCAGGGGGTATGAAATGCCTATTCCAAAAGCACTTGGTATCTCGCCTGTTTATTCTCTCACAGAATTCATCAATAGACGAACACACGTTGTTATTTTGTGGTAGTAACTCACTAAACGTTTCAACGTGTTTGGATACGTTTTTATAATGGCTTGTTAATGTACAGATAATTATAAGTTCTACTTGAATTCACTTCATGTGCTATAGATGTTAGGTAACATCAGCTATAGTATAGTATAATATTAATTCCATAAACTAAGTAAACAAAAAACTATTATTTCATATTAATAATATTCAGGGTAACTTTAAGTCTTCTTTGTTTTGGATAATAATTTCAAACTTAAATAAATGTATATTAGGCTAAAGAATGATGCCTATTTTTTATGATAAAGTGTATTTTATTACAACATTGTAAAATGATTAAAAATGGAGAAAAATACCAATAAATAACGACTTACTTTAAATAGTAACATTAAGAACCGTGTAACTTTCTAAAATACTTGTGCTTAAAATATGCATCATTACGTTCAAGAGTGTAATCAGTTTTAAATATATTAGTTAATGATTTATTAAGACTAATTTGTTAATTACTCTGTTTTTTGTAATTTTACACATTTTTTTTCGTCAAAACTAAAAAGATTAGTGAGTTCCCCACAATTAATAGAGCACAAATATACGGAATTTAAGGCGACTGAATTCAAAAGTTTTGTTTTACATCTTTATACAAGGCTGAAGTCGGAACTCATGCGTATACTGAGTCAAATATGTTACAAAACGCTGCAAAAGGCCAGATTCATCACCAATATCGTGGTGACTTAAGTTCTGAACATAAATATTTCTTTTGATATTTCTTCCCTGATAATACCTAGTTTCGGAAAATACAGCTAGTCCGATTAATTAAAAGACTTTTCTTAGTTTCCTCAGACGCGCTGTATTGAATTTCAATAAAATGAACCAAAGTTTTCTTCCAATTAGCGATAAGTACAACCAAAATGAAATTTGCTTTGTTGAAGCTTCTCAAAATAGGTGAGTTGTAATACGCCACGTTCATTGTTCCGTTTTTTATTTATTTATATGATCCAAATATAAAAAAATATTATTTGAAACACTTCAATAGTTATGAGCACAACAAATAAATTCTATAGAACTTTAAAAAAGGCTATTGAAATTTGTTTAATGTGAACATGTAAAGTTTTCCTTGCGATAGGGATTTATTGGAATTTTATGTACTGTACATGATTATCAAAAGTAAGTTCCTTCAGAAATTATGCATCATCTTCTTTTTTCTTTTGTAAAATTACAGAGAAATTTACAAGTGTGGATTTAGAATTTGAAGCTTGAAACGACAAAATGAATTTAAATGATGCAAGATATCAGTATGTAAGCTGTAACAAAGGAAAGACAAATCTATAATATCATAACAGTTTAGAATGTTTGAAAGCAACACTTTATTATGAACAGAAATAAAGTTGATTTTATACATTTTGAAGAAAATTATAAAGCATGTACAGAATGTTTCATAATGTACTGACAACAATTGGGTTCATTTTTTCGGAAAATTGTAAATTGTGTAATAAATTCAAATGTGCAGTAAATTTACTGTTGTTTAAATAGACAAAACTGTCATTGTAGTTTTATGACAATACAGTTATCAATACATGTTAGTAAAATGATACAGCTGGAACAGATACTTAGAAGAGTTAGAATATTTTAACAGTCACTTAAAACTTTATTTAGTAAATAACACTTTACATTTAAATTATAGTTAGTCAACTGATTTCAAACTAACAAACCGTTCTATAAAATAATTCCGAGTAATTTCTATTTTATAACAATAGAAATAGCAATCAATATCACGCTCCTCGGTTTCAGTCCTTGATTTTAGAAATGATTCCTGAAATACAGCGTGACTGCTTCAAACTTTCAACCAAATAAATACAAAATTATAAACAAGCCAGAAATTAATTAAGGTTACTTAAAAACTTAATGGAAACAGTATTCTTCGGTAACTTAATAAAAACAAAACGCGTAATCATCTCATATAAGTCGAAAGAGATTTGCTGGGTAGACAAAAATCCTCAACGTATTAATGTAACTAGTCCCTACTGCATTTCTTTGTCATGTGAACTGTTCTCTTTCTAACGTTAGCCTCGAGCTTATTAGCAGATCTTAATTTCTTCCTTTATAGTCCCAGAGAAAACAATTACTAAGATGAAGAAATAGGTTTCTGTAAGAATGGCTGCTCATTTTAAGATTATCGAAAGGCAGGATATGAGATTATATTAACTGAAAGTTACACCACAAATCATACAAAACACTCCTCTCTCTTGTTTAAATTACATAAGCTAACTAGTGTACTAGTTTGTTTTCTTACGATAACATAAAAAAAATCATCAACGATTAATATTCCTTTCTTTAGTTGGGAAACACAATACACAGTTCACACAACTATTCCTTTTTATAGTCCATGACTAGAACAACAATATTTTTTAGTATATGTGTAGATATTTTGTTTTTGAATATCTGCAGAACTTCAGTTTTAAATTTTAACCAATTATGTATATATATATATATATTCACATATTACTACATGGAAACTCGCCATCAAAATCACATACAAACATCCACACTCTTCATGTTTATACATTAGGAGAAAACTTTTTGTTGTAGTGTGCGACAACTGGAAAAAATTGCAAGTATTTGGAAAACCAAAACTTTGAAGTCGATCGTTGCCAATCTTGAAGCTTTGCTGGAAAGTTCATCTGAAATAAAAACACAGTATACAAAAAGAAAAATTACTTAAAGTTCTGCATTACTATTTTCACGTATTTATGTAACTTTTTCATATATATAAAAAAATATTTATTTCGACTAACAATCGCCATACAAATAATACAACATACTGTTTTGTTTATTTGTTTGAAGTTAAGCACAAAGCTACACAATGGGCTATCTGTGCTCTGCCCACCACGGTTATCGAAACTCGTTTTCTAGCACTGTAAGTCCGCAGACACACAGCTGGGACACAGGGTGGGGGCTACAACATACCATAGTTTTCTTATAACGAAGTCACTTTGATCTAAATATGTCCAATCAAACTATTAAAAAAAAGCTTCCAGTAGAAAAGATATTTTATTGGAGAAGTATAGAAAAACAATTTATTCTGTGGACTGAAAACCAAGTGATAAGAATTACTTAGTAGCCAGTATTGCCAATTAACCTAACCATCAAGTAAATGGAACTAAACATTACAGAGTTTGTCATAAATTTGTTATTTAATAATTTAGAGAATTTTGCTACATAGATAAAGTTAAACTTATCATAAATAATACATGTCAATACGGTTATAAGGAAATAGCGCAATGAAAATAGACCTTCCACAGAGAAGTCATGTAAGTAATTTCACTTCATTGAACCGAAATCAACTGTTTAATTCAGAAAAAACAATAAAATCATCTTTGAAATGACTACTTTTTTTTTAAAGACGAAACAAAGTAAAAAAAAGAGACACACACTACTGTCTGTCACTACTGTTAATAACTGTAACACCACATATGTTACTAATTCGTGTAAAGATTCTGATAAATGTAGGTCTGTGTGTAACTACTGTTAATAACTGTAACACCACATATGTTACTAATTCGTGTAAAGATTCTGATAAATGTAGGTCTGTGTGTAACTACTGTTAATAATAATTCAAACAATGTTCCTTTTCGTCGAATCATCAAACTGACGATCATAATTTTAAAATGTTTATATTCTTACTACCAACCTTATACTTACATGCTTAATCAAAGAACCACTACAGTCACTAGCTTTTATTGACAAACACCTCAAACATAGATTTACATACTAGCGATCCAGATTTCAAGATGATTAATTTGGACAGTTCAATTACTATACTTAAACGTTTGTAAACCGTTAACACTATTGTAAAACTCTTGCAGTCTTTGCCCGAAATATTTCGTTTTTCAAAGAAGTATTATACTAAGTGCGAAATATACCTTTAGACCTTGCGTAAATTTTTATAAAGTTTCGAAAGCAAATAAGCAGCTCATTCTCCATTCATTGACATGTACAAAGTCATTTTTACTGCCTATCTCATAAATATTTTGCTTATCTGGCGAAATAGATAGTGAAAATAAAATCGTCATATAAGTAAATATTACTTAATTTCATTAATATCTCTTTAAATTACTCTCACTCAAGAAAATACTTGTGTAAAGAATATTTGCTGGTGAACTGGTTGTTCAGCATAGTGTGTTCTAAATTACCTTACGAATTACAAAAGGAGACATTTCTTGTACTCAATGGCAGTGGAAAACAAAATAATATGGATCAGTTTAGATCAGCATGACCCCCCCCCCCGAAAGAAACCAGCAACAAGACGTAGCCCAGCCGTGATAAGCAAACTATAACGTCTTGCTAAAGGTAAAAATGCACGAACACAATAATCAGTGGTAATGTGAGACAGCAAATTATTTTTTTCATGGTTATGGTTGTGTTTATCGTTCATTTATTATTTCCTTCTATCGTTTAGTTTATCCAAGAATTTGTAGTTGCAATAAACCGCTAATTCACCTTCTAGCTAATCATTCATATTTATGTATGACATCAGCTTCTCTAGCGGTGACGTACAGATACTATTAATGTAACAGAAGGTTATGTAAATTTATGATCATATGAGGTGTACTCTCGTGATCTACTCAGTGAAAAATAGGCTGCTAGAAACTTTACTGAGAGAGAGAGAATTAGTAAAAGTCGTCGATGTCCAAAGCAACACTATCAAGTATAAACAAGAAAGGTCTCCGTCTGAAAAAGCAACAAAAGTCACGTGTACACAAGCTGCTTCCAGGACATATCAGTTCAACTGTCACGAAACCTAAAACAACTGGAAAATGAAATGGGTAATGTCTTAGCTAAAATGTTTACATACTGTACTATATTGATGTTATTGTATACATGCTAGGAGTAGTTATTGATTAAATGGCCTAGTAGAAATATGTACGAGTTGTTATTCTGGTCTGTATAAGTTGTTTTGAGCATTTGTTCGTCAAAACACACATAAGCACCTGTTTTGTATAAAATGATATGATTTTGGTATAATATTTTTCGAAACAGATCAATGCTTTGTCCAGATAATTTCTTTTTACTTAGTGTAGAGTCATATTTCGTCACGTGCCAGAAGTTATAGGGCGTTAAATTGTTCGACTGTCCAGAAATTGTATGAAGCAAACGGACATTTTGGTAACATTAGGCACCCCCATTTTATTACATCCAAAATCCTGAAACATCATCGGACGACATGAAACGTTTTTCCAGGAAAGTCTACTGGTAGGCGCCGATAAACTACTGCCCGAGATGACCATGTTTTAATCAGGTTAACATGTCCTGGTCGAAAGAAGTTTTGCAACACCTTACGACAAGAATGGTATGAACACATTCATTCCAGAGTATCTAGAAGAATAGTGAATAGGACATTGATAAAACAAGGTTATTTTTCGAAATGGGTCTATCTGCAAACCGATATTAACCAGAATTCACTACCGTCATCGTGTTACTTAGGCAAGACATCATGCCAGCTTATAGTAAAGATACTGGTGATATGTCATGTTTTCAAATGAGTCTTAAAGCTGATGGTAGGGCTCGTATTCGTTGTTTGCATGGAGAACAGATGAGGGTAAACTGGCTTGCCCACAGGGAACACACAGGAGGTTGTGTAGTACATGTTCGGGCAGCAATTCATCATGGTGTAAAAACTGCTTTTCATATCCTCCAAGGAAATGTCAATGGCGTCTTCTAAAGGCATCACATGGAGACGATATTTCTGCCATATTCCAGGGCAAGGTTTGGCAATAAATTTATGTTCCAGGGTGACAATGCCACTGCCCCTAGTGCGCGTATTGTACAGGATTATCTCGACCAGGAGGACGCTACAAGATTGCCATGGCCAGCAAAGTCTCCATATTGTGATCCCATTGAGAATTGTTGGGCAGAAATGAGCCAGAAACCTGCTAACCACGACCTTAAAACAGCTACTGCACTGCTTTTTAGTGAGAAGTTTGGATGAAATCACGATGGATTACATCAATAACATCATCGACACCATGCCACATTGCCTCACTGAGATTATTAGAGTACGAGGAGGATCAACCAAGTACCGAACGTTTAATATGAAGTGATATAAGGTTACAGACACTATTAATAATACATTGATGTTATATTTTGTCATTACATATGTTTTCGTAAGATTTTGTTGTGATAGGTGGAATACTGAATTACATATCTATCTATGGGTGTCTGATAAAATTGTTTGCTGCCCTAATACATCGTTCATGATGTCCATAGAACCTGTCTCATTATACAAATTACATATAACATGCATTTTTCAGTTTGACAGCGTTATGTGTATTCCTTCATAATAATAATGATCTTATTTGTTCATAAAAACACGTAGGTGCTGCCTCTGGTAAGTTGTCCGGTATGTCTTCATATGGAATAGCATTACTACAGTCTTGGCAAGCGAACTGCTCTAAGAAACTATCGTCCTCATACATTAGATATATCGTGGAAAGCTTGCAAGGAAGATGATTGTGCTTTTGACAAGACGAAGTTTTTGCAATATAACTACGCTGCAGGGCTATTGTGAAGATGCATGGTAATAAAATAGAGCATGACGTGACGTGGCCAAAAGGACTGTAACGATTTGGCGAGGGCCCAAAACCGTTTTAATATAATGTAGTCAACATCTGTAGTTATGACCAGAAAATCATATGCTTCAGCACAAAACATTGATATGATTCGACGAGTAGGCCTACATATAAAATGTATTGTGGCCACCAAAAACATATTCAGTTTATAACTTCAAAATTTATCTACTTATTCCTAATAAATGGGATTAAAAGGGAATTGATCCTTAAAAAGAGTTGATTTACAGTTGTCAGTGTATGTTATTAGTCTGATGTTTTCATTGTAGTTTATTTTTGAACAAGTAGGAGAAATTAGGTGTAAGGTTTTGATTACATAAGAGGCTGACCAGATAAGAATGTACACTTAATCAGGGGAATTTCAATTCTAGTTTGATATATATATTTTTGAGCTATATAATAGAAATTCATTTTGTGTTATTAATTTTCATACATCTGAGTTTAGTCCAAATTTATTAGGTAAATTCAATTTCTTAATATAAGTTCAGGTTATCATTTCATAGGCGCCTGTAGCAACGTTTCAGCATTTCATATATCTTAAATTGACTTCATTAAGTTTTGCCGTTCAAGCCAATGTAACCAGTTGCATGTGTAAAATATTTTAGACTATGATCAAAACAGCATTCACACTGAAATTAACTGATGGTTTTGTGTAATTTCTAGGATGTTCTTCAGAGTTTTAAGGTAAAAGCGTGTACCTGTACAAATGTGACTTCACTTACTTGAGAGTTAAATCCTTTATTATTCTTGCATGTTACTTTGTTGCAAGTCATAGTCACTGTCTTTTGAATTAATACAAGTCTTTTAATTCTTTCTGATTTTTTTGCATTAACTTTTATTTGAAACCCTTACTTAACATTCATTGTATTCATGTCATTTTGCTTATTTTCCAACAAATTCTCTTTTGTTCAATTATTACATTTGCGATTTTGTATGATTTTTTGACTGCCTAATCTTCCGATTTAAGTAACTCATGACAAAACAACATTTAAGATTAGTTAAAAGTTAATATGCATATCAATAATGCGATTCTCTGGGTAGATACTAATATCAGTCAAAAGGAAAATGTTTGTTTTTGTTTTTTGAATTTCGCGCAAAGCTACACGAGGGCTATCTGCTCTAGCCGTCCCTAATTTAGCAGTGTAAGACTAGAGGGAAGGCAGCTAGTCATCACCCACCACCAACTCTTGGGCTACTCTTTTACCAACGAATAGTGGGATTGACCGTCACGTTATAACGCTCCCACGGCTAAAAGGGCGAGCATGTTTGGTGGGATGGGGATTCGAACCCTCAAAAGGAAAAAAAAAGGAAAAACATTTAAAAATAAAATGTGTTTGTTGAAAGCACAGTTTTTGTAACGCCACTCTTTTATCACAAAGATCAAATCTACTAATCATTGCAAGTTTAAAATATTACTGCAAACAAAAATATTATAGAAAATAAATAAATAAATGGTCGACAATTCGTCGTGAAGTAAGAATTTAGGTGTTAAATATGTCGCTTGTAGTGTCACGGCTTACCTCTGCCGCAATACGTCACTAGTTTAGCTGTTTGTTTGTTTGTAATTAAGCACAAAGCTACACAATGGGCTATCTGTGCTCTACCCACCATGGGTATCTAAACCCGGATTTTAGAGCTGTAAGTCCGCAGACATACAACTGTGCCACTGGGTGGGGCACTGCTTTAGCAATACATATGTTTCATGTGAACTAGCACTAACCCTCTGTACATATGTGTTAAATTAAAATGCGTGAACAAATGTTAAATTTATTTACGAATGACGAAAGTAATAGTAAACATCTGCACTAGGTTGTTTTCCTATGACTACATTTTAACATTTTATTGGAATTATTTTAATTACTGTAACAATGGAAATATTAACATAAACGAAATTTTGTTTTTCTCTTTGTTTAGTCTTAAGCAAAAAGCTATACAATTGGCTATCTGCGATGTGTTCACCACTGGTATCGAAACCCAATTTTTAACGTTATAAAAACCCCAACTTACCACTGAATCGCTTGAGGGGTAGGCAATATAAATGAATCACATAAAATACATAAAAGGGGACATGTAATGTTGAGAAATAATTACTATAAAAACAAAAATTGTCACCCGGTGGGTCAGCAGTGCGTTTATGGACTTAAAAGGCTAAAGTCTGGGAATCGGTTGGCAGAGCATAGATATCAATTATTTAGCTTTCCATTAAAAGACACAAACCAAAGTAAAACTCTGAGATACACATTTTACAATCGTAATATATTTGGTAAAATAAAGTATTCGAATATAATTAAGTTTCTAATTTGATTTTGGGCTACCTCTAATGAAATCACGAGAAATATTATTTTCACAAACTGGGAACGTACTGAATAACTTAGGTGCAAATTCTGCATTTTTAATCTCTCTATTAAAGAGCCCATTTGGAGGCATCTAATTTTCTAACTTTATTTATGGCTACCTCTGATGAATTAGAAATAAATATATATATATATATATATATATATTTCTAAACTAGCAACATATAGAACGGATTCAATTAAATATACAAAATCCATGCAGTTAAACAAGTATACAATTTAACTCCTTCATTTTTTTACTATAATCTTTATACAATACCTCGTTCAGAAAAATACGTATAAATTCGAAGCTCTTAGTTTACAGCAAATTTGTTATTGGTATGAATAAACAGTTCATAAGTCTTGTAAAATAAATACCTAATCATTTTGAGCCCTTATGCAGAAGTGAAAAGATCATTTTAATTCAAATTTATCCAAAGAAAAAAGCGTATAGCCCAAAATATGAATTATATCTTTCAACTTTTCCATTTTTATCTAATTTCCAACGGTTAAACCGATGCAATTTTACATATTCAAACCAAAAATATTTTACAATGAAAGTGTTAAATTTACGTTACTTGATACAATATAAGAATAGTTAAGTTAAGAGGCATTAAAGTTGATACATAAAAAGTACAAGGTTTATATTTTATAAAAGAATCAGTTATAGCACTGCAAAAACAAGACTTAGCCAGATAGCACATAATATAAAATACACAGAATACAGAGTGGTTAAACTAACGTTACGATATATGAAAAACGAAAGAAAGTTTAGAAAAATTGAAACTTTAAACAACACCTCTGCGTTTGTTTGTAGGCTGAACAAAAACAAAACCTAAGAAGAAGTTTCATATCATATACCATTAAGCCCGGAAATCCATACCGGAGCTTATCTTCCAGGCAAGATCAAAAGGACTTAACAAATATTGTTGCTTCATGACTACCTCGTTGGGACTAATTACAAATGTCATTGAATCATGAAATAAAAACTTCAAATTGTAGAGATGTTGATATCTTTCACGATAGTTGTCCCAACTTAAAAGAACATTAATGTATAAAAACATTCCAAAATTTAACAAATGACGTAGCTGATTCATCACACTAATAAATAAATATAAACGCACAAAAACTATAGTAAACAAATACACAGAAACTGCAACAGGTTATTAATTGTTTTTAATACAAAAAGTAAGCTTACCTGGGTAATAAAAAAGTCTTCTTTCTCTCAGAAATTTTGTTCCGTTAATAGTAAGTACGCATTCAAATATCGTAGGCTCATTACGAGACAACGTGTTTATATTTAGAGATTTCATAACAGTGACATTATAACCATTATAGGGATCATGAGCAATCATCTGGACCACAACTGCTGCCAGATCCTGCAACTTCTCTGTAGAAGTCAGCTTGTACAACTTCAGTTCTGGATCTGGAAAAACTCCTTTAGCTTCGCACTGCAGCCGAAGGTCATCGTTTTTTTCGTAGCTCAACGTGAAAATAAATTCTTTCGGAGGTGCTATAAAAAAGTATAGATGAAACAGATAATAATTTTAAAATATAGCTTGTTTATTTCTTGAAAATAAATTAGAAAGCATTATACTTGCTTATTTAATATAATACTTAGATTCAACTAAACTATTTCTATAGAGAGGAACACACGTTTTATCTAGATTATATTTGCAAATTTGCATGTGCATCTTATTTTGAACTTCTATTTTATTGATTAAAATGATTATGTAAAATAAATTTCATCATATGAAAGGAATTTAAGAAGTCAAAGTAAAATTGTATTTTGTAGGCAGAGTTTAGAATTGTTGACTGACAAACAGTTCTGTATATAAAAATACAGTACTGAATGTTGTGATTGCTATGACAGAATGCTGGTTAGAAAGATCGATGATATACGGATTTTAACAATTCAATCGAAGAGACTGTTAATACATGGAATTTATTAAAGTTAATTGAAGACAGAGATTGTTTGTATATAAACTTATTAGTGTATTGGTTCAATATATTGTTGGTACACAGAGTTTATTAGTAGTTATTGGAGATGATTAGCATACGGACCTTATTAGGGTTAGTGGAAAAATAATGTTGGTACATATATCTGAATAGGGAACGTCTGCTATACAGAATAAGAACATTTTACTGTGTTTACAAAATATTTTAATTAGGTAACAGAAGAAGCCAATTTCTGTCAAAAGACAGTAGTTTATCCGCAGGTAACAAAATTGTAACAATATTTATCTACTAAAATAATAAATAACACACAACGTTAAAATAGGTACACAATTAAAAAAAGTTTAAGTAAGGCCAATTCATGCCCACTAAAGTTGACCCTACATGTTTCGACGTTGCACCTATTTTAACGTTGTGTGGTATTTATTATTTTTACATTAAACACAAGTGCCAAGAAATAATACTCAATGTTTCCTTATAAAATATGTTTTAGAGTTCAAAGACAGACATCCATTATTGGTCAATTATATATTGTTTAATTGTTCCTTTTAAGGAATCTGTTTCTGGTGACAAACAAATATGTTAAAGACAATAATAAGTCCTCTGTTGATCAACTATATTATTTAATTGATCCTTTTTAAGCATCTATTTCTGCTGACAATCAAAAATGTCAAAAACAACGATGAAGTCCTTTCAATTTGTTCTGAACCTTTTTATTTAGGTTGCCCTCCGTGGGTCAGCAGTAGCTTACGGATTTACAACGCTAAGATTCGGTGAACAGAGCCCACGTAGCTCATTATAAAGCTTTGCACTAAGAAAACAACATCCTTTTGGTAAGCGCAGTTTCAAGATGTATTACAGAGAGTAAAACTTCGTACAAGCTTGTTTAGTGTATCTGATGTTGATCAAAGCTTACTGAATACAGGTTTTTTATGGTTATAGGGTTTTTATCATTTTTTATAAAGACTCCTTGAACCTACGTGTTTTTCTGACATCATGAATGAATTCAGGTTTAACATGAATATCATTTCATTGTTCTTATTCATTTAATCATTAGATATTATGCAACAAGATTAAGGGATAAATATTGATACTGTAATTGGACAACTAATTACACTACTTACAGATGTATTTCAACTATCAATTATGAGAAAAACCTCATTAATATATTGTTTCACAAATAAATTTGTGCTGAGTAAATAATAAAAATATCAGTGATTTTGTATAACTTAATAACATTAATAAATCAGGTAAGATAACTATATATGTAAATAGATAAAATAAGAAAACCCAATATCTTCAATTCCTTCGGAAAATAAACTAATCCACTTATGAATTAAAACAATCGTTATGGCATAGAGCTTATCAGCTCTGATTGAAAAGACTGATGGCATGCAGACTTTAGAAATCCATCTGAGGAATCTGTGTGTCTAGAGCTTACTAATATCAATCGAAAAGGCTAGCATAGAATATTCATGCTCCGTTACGTGGTTCAAAGACTTCCTCATAACTCGTAAAAAGCTCCAACGTACCGATTAAACTCCTTTATTATCCCCATTTACTGCTATTCTTACCCTAATATGGTTCTGTTACACAAAACAAATCCCTTTAGGACACCCTACTGTGGTGTCTGAGTACATTTTCCACATTTAGTACTGTTAACTTGTGAGTGGAGTATGAACACAGTTTGAAACATGGCATCCTCCGTTTCCGAGGGAAGCCAGGAAAACAAAATACGATGTCATATTCGGGTTCAGCAACTCTGAAAACCAACTCCTAGTCCCCATCAGTCAAGGGCGACCTTCTGGGGGTGTTGCATGCTCATTGATATCCTCTATGTGGAGGAAAGCTACAACATATAAGTAACGTCAGCCATCGAACCATCCTGAGTACGCATCCAAGCTTGGTCTTGCTAACTCCAAAACTGTGGGAGGAGTTGCCACAAATACACAACGTGAATTAATATAGGATTGCCAACATATACATTTAGCAATGTAATTGAAGAGACTGTTTGTATACCAGTTTATCAATGAGTTTATTGATTGATTTTTGGCATACATTGTTTATTCTTACCGATTATAGAGATGGTTAGCACATAGAGCTCATCAGATTTAATGAAAAGTATTTGTGGAACATAAAACTGAGTAATTGAAAAGGATTTTTTTTTTTACACTGAGTGATTTGTTTGTTTGTTTGATTGAATTTATGCATAAAGCTACACAATGGGCCATCTGTGCTCTGCTCACCACGGGTATCGAAACCCGGTTTCTAGCGTTGTAAGTCCGTAGACATACCGCTGTGCCACAGAGGGGCACACTGGGTGAAAAAGATAGTATTGACAAAATAATATGATTAGTTCAAAGAGAAAAACAAATTAAGCTGTTTTCAGCAAAAAGTTCGTGGTTCACGCGTATGTTAAAACAAAAAGATCATATTTATATTAAAAGCAAATATAATTCCTTTAAGCGAGCTCAGTATTGTGATATAACACAAATAGTACGATGAAAGGCTTCTTGTTTTGTAATTTGACGTTGGATAATAATATTTCTTTTTAAAGAATAGTTACAATATAGCTTAATGCAATAGATTAATTTAGTGCTGGTGACGTACAAAGAAAAACAGCTTTGAATAAAAATAAAATAGCTGTAATACACCTTGTTAGAAAATTTAACTTAGAAGTTCGAAAAAGTTACCTGATTAATTATATAGGGTGTCAACAAATATATTTATTTACACGTTCAAGTACACTACAAAGTTTAAACATTTTTCATTTTTAACTAAGTAATTAATCAACTACAGTCTAAAATTGTATTGGAAGGATTACTTTTAAAATGAAAGTGTTTTCATAGTTTTTCATTTACTTAAGCAATATGTTGATATGAGCAATAGGTCTGACTACGTCTGCACATACTTATTTTGTATTTGGCATTATTTATTATTTGTTGAAGAAATATCTAAGGGCCCCTTCTAAAATAATGGCCTTCATATTAAAAATATATTATTTTTATACGTATTGGAGTCGGAAATGACTTGAAAAAGAAAAAGCTAAGTTTTGTCAATCATAAGCTCAAAAAAGTTCATAGCTTATTTTGACGGAAGATCCGGCTTGATTGAATTACATCAGGGATGACGTTTTAATGCCCGGAGACAGTCATTCTGTTACAAATATGTTATTAGCCAATTACTACCAATAAATAACTAAATAAATAGAATTGACCGTAGTATCAAAATATATGTGTTTGTTTGTTTATTCTAGAGCAAAGCTACACTAGGTTATCTGCTGTGTCCACCGCGGAGAATCGAATCTCGGATTTTAACATTTTAAGTTCTCAGACTTACCGCTGTCCCATCGGGTGATTGAAAACAACAACAACTAAACAATATTTGTTTATACTTAATGAATAAAGTAATTGCTAAATAGTTAGATAAAATACATGTATACTGTGGTGACTGGCCAATATTTATTGCTAGATTGTATAGTTACATAAGTAAGAACAATCTCAAATCGACAAATGGGAAGTAAAATCCAAAGACATATAATGTTTAGAATCTCATCTCAGATTTACAATGTTTCAACCAAAGAACTAAATCCTTTCTGTCTGTCGTTTTTAAAAGAATACGATACAATATTTGTTAACTAAGTGAGATCAAAACCACTGGCTGTTCTTTGTAGATATTAATGAAAAGCTGAATCCCAGTATTGTGAATCCCCTTTAAATAATCGTAGCAATGGTGAAACAACGTGTGTGTGTGTTTTAATTTCGACTAATAACTCATATAGTAAAATTTGTCGATCCCTTAAAATATTTACTTCTCTAATATTATTCCTTAGTTAAAACCCCATCAGTCGTAAAAATAAGACAAATATTTCAATCTATGATAATATAGTCTTGGCCATAATGTTTACATATTTTGTAACAAATAAGTTCATTATTATCAAAAATGGAATACAAATAAACTAAGCGCAGTTCAAAGTAGGAAGTGCATGTTATATTAAACATCTACATATGTAATTTGTATAATGAGACACGTTCTGTGGACATTATGAACGATTTACTAGAACAGCAAGCAATTTCATCAGACACCTGTAAAAAGATGTGTTATTCAGCATTTCACCTATCACAACAAAACCTTACCAAACATATGTAATGACAAAATATAGCGTCATATTATTATTAATAGCATCTGTAACCTTATATCAGTTCATATTAAACATTCGGTACTTGGTTGGTCCTCCTCGTACTCTAATAACCTTAGCGAGGCAACGTGGCATGCTGTCGATGAGGTAATTGATATAATTCACCATGATTTAATCTCCATTTGTCACTATAAGGCGCTGTAACGCAGCTACAATAGTTGGTTTTCGGTCGTGATTTGCAGTTTTCCGGTTCAGTTCTGCCCAACAGTTATTATTGGGATTACAATCTGGAGGCTTTGCTGGCCATGACAATCTTGTAACGTCCTCCTGGTCAAGATAATCTTGTACAATACGCACACATTGTCATCCTGGAACACAAATGTATTGCAAAACCTTGCCCTAGCATATGGTAGAAATAT